CCCCCCCCCCCACCCCTGATACGAACCATTCGAGCTAGCCCACCCAAAAACTACAAGAGACACTTAAATAAGGAAAAAGAAAAAAAATTAAAATTATATCTTAAGTGTAAAAACTATAATTGCTAATATGTCATATCCTAGATTAATCTACACAGAAAATAATTGTTACATCAATCACTACATCCAAGTGACATGCGGGTGGTCGGGGTCGAAGTTCTTCTTTTTATAGAACTCATTACATTGTTTTTTAAATAATGACAGGCTTAAATTAGAGGTCCTCAGTTTATCAGGCAGGTTGTTCCATAAATATGGTAATTGCCAACGAGCCATCCGAGCGAAGACGCTCGGATGGCGAGGCGGCAGCAGAATAGAGCCGCGCAAGACTGGGCAATAGGCAGAAAAATTCTCGATCGAGCTGAAAAAAGTGTAACCTAATGTAATGTAGGGCGCGATCCATTCAACCAAAATTCAGACCGGTCCGACCGGGAAAAGAGGACTACCTCAAAAGGTGGACCCGTTTTTTCGAAACTTTTCCGGTTGGACCGAACCAAAGCGGGGAATTTCATATATCCCATGATGCATCGCTTCATACTATATTATCAAGCTTCCGAACGCACGTGATGCTATCAGTTCAACAAGGACGTGACAGTTGAACAGCAGTGGAAAGCGACTTGTTTTGCCGATAAAACTTTCTGTCCCTTTGCTGTGTCGATCTATTTACTATTTTAGTTTTACTATTCCAAATATATCTCTTGTTAAGTCAAAGAGAGTGTTTTGCCCGCCGATTATGAGTTAACTATACTTACGATAGCAACGCAGTCCACACAAACGTTCTTAGAAGCTAGCGAGGAAGGTCTTTGCTTCAGTACGTCCTGTTTTAACGTGCGTCGACAAAGCTTTCCATGAATTAACAGGCGATTTCCACGACTTGTCTTGAAATAAATACATATTCTAGGTGTGAGATTTCTCTTCGTTGCTTGTTTGTGATCGGGGTGTTCATATTGTCAGTTCAATAATTCATCGATGCAGTACATCAACCGTACAATGACTGCACACGCTTTTACTTCAACAAGCTCGGCTTATGTAGTCGAAAATACCGAGACCGTTAAAGAGCAAAGTGACGTCTATCGGAGATAAAATTCAAAGGAGGGAAATAGCTCCAACAAACAATAAAAATAACAAAGACATCTCCATATTTTTCGTAACACAACACGAGCTAAGCATCATTGTCAAACATAAACAGAAAA